CCTTTTGAAGAAGTGGCGTGGAAATGGCATATCCTTTTAAGTCGGAGATCGAGAAGACGATGATATCGGCTTTGTGTTCCATTAAATGTAAATGTTTGCTGTGGCATGATTTTGCTCTTCGTCTTCACAGGCAGCGAGCGTGAGTCCGGGTCGACTTCTGTGAGTAATCTGTTTCCTCGTTAACAAACTTGTGTTCATTTTCTACCATTAGACAATTATTCACAAACACTATCGCGCAGAGGTCGTAATGATTTCAAAATGATGGTTTTACTGCTGTACATCCTTTTGAGGTCTTAATTTGCAAGTGTCGTTTTGTTTGCGTATGCTCCTTGTTTTTCCCTGCTTGCTCTCTGTAGTTCGTCCATGTCCGCCTATCATTAAGCACAAGTCGATGTGAAATCTTGCGCCAACATAACTTGGTTATGGTAATTAAGGAAACGACTTGCCGTTTAGCTGTCAATATATCAGACCCACCCGTCACCCTGTGGGCTATATTTGAACCTCCCAGACATGTTGGTTGATAATGAAGGTGAAATGGGTCCTTGAACAATATTTTAAGTAGTGTGTGTACAATGGATTACAATCCAAATGCATTTGTTAAAATTTCTCACGAACTAGCTTGGCATTGTCGACAAAGGATGAAATGTAGAAGCATCTCGAAGGTATTGGACTCCTTACTGTTCTCCACATTATAGGCATGGTGAGAGAAATTGATTATGTTCCCTTCATGTTAATCCTCTTTCAGGCCTGGGTGGGATTATTAATTGAGCTTAATGGGGTCTTTTATGATTTCCTTCTTGATGTAACCGCCTTAGACTCTCGCTAGGTAGTAAGGTCCACCAACTAACTTTGAAAGACATGCCTGACCTTTGGTAGTGTCACTAGTCTTGACAACCTTCCGCTCTTACTCGCTTACCTCGCTTTGGCAACTCAGCAGGTAGAGTCGGCAGGGCGAAAGCGGAGAGTGGAGTTGGAGACGGTGGTGAAAGGCGGTAGCGATGTATTGCAGCGGTTGCGCGTGCAGAAAGATGCCATAGTGGGTCCCACCCCGAGGATTGCGCCACCGTCGCTCGCACCGTCTACGGTCGTCCGCTCTCCGTCGTCCTTGGCATGGTTGACCTCGTACTCGTCTAACACTGGCATTGCAGGTCAGATTTCCTTATTTCCCCTTCCCCTCCCAAAAGTTGGCGTCGGCTTTATTCCTTAGGTTTGTACTATTCGTGCATTTGGTTGTTTAGTTAAT